CCTTTTTTCCAAAATCAATTTTAATTAAATCCAAATAATATTTTTACCCAATTTTACAATTATTATTATTTTTATTAATATTAATATTATTATTATTTTTTAAATTATAAATTAAACTAAATAAATAAAATACATAAAAATTAAAATTAATAAAAAATAATAATAAAAATGCTAAAATTATTGGGCGTTACAACTCTCCCCCCCTTAAAGAAATTTGGTTCCCCAAATTTGCCTCTTACTCTTGATCGAACAAATGGGGATACTTGGCTCTAAATTCTGATTCCAATTCCCAAGTAGCCTCTCTGGGCGTGTGGTTCTGCCACACGATCTTTACAAATGATATTTCTCGGTTGCGGAGTATTCTGCTCTCTTGGTCCGTGATACCGACCGGTACTTCTTCATAAGACAAGTCCTCTTGGAGTGGAAGCGGTTCATGAGCCAAGACATGAGAAGGGTCCGGGTTGTACTTACGTAGCATAGATACGTGAAACACGTTGTGAACCTGGGAGAGCTCAGGAGGCAGTGCTAGTCTGTAGGCAGCGGTACCAATCTTGTCTAAGATTTCAAAGGGTCTATTATATCAGGGGTTTAATTTTCTCCTCCTGCCGAACCTACCAATTCCCTTGAAAGGAGTGACCTTAAGAAACACACGGTCGCCTTTCTCAAACGCTAGGTCTCTCCTCCGGATATCTGCATAACTCTTCTGTCTACTCTGAGCTGTCTGAATGTTCTTCTTGATTTTAACTATCTTGGACGTGGTCTCCTCTACCAACTCCGGGCCGAACAATCTTTTATCGCCCACTTCCTCCCAACAAATCGGTGACTTGCACGGGCGCCCATATAGCGCCTCATATGGAGCCATGCCGATACTTGATTGGTAGCTGTTGTTGTAGGCAAACTCTATCAGGGGTAGATGGTCGTCCCAATGGCCCCCGGAATCAAGGACACAAGCTCGGAGCATATCCTCAAGTGTACGAATTGTCCTCTCTGATTGTCCATCAGTCTGGGGGTGGAAGGCAGTACTAAGAGACAGCTTTGTTCCCATAGCTTGCTGGAAGCTGCTCCAAAATCGAGAGGTGAACCTGGGATCCCTGTCGGACACTACTGTTACTGGAACCTCATGCAATCTGACTATCTCCCGGATATACATCCTTGCCAACTTGTCCAATGAATCGGTTATCCTGATGGCTAGGAAGTAGAAAGACTTGGTAAGTCGGTCAACGATTACCCAAATGGTATCGTGTCCTGAACGCGCCTTGGGTAGCCCCGATACGAAGTTCATGATGATATGTTCCCACTTCCATTTCGTGATCGGTAAGGGCTGAAGTAACCCACCTGGGTGCTGATGCTCTGCCTTGACCTGCTGACATACCAAACATTTAGATACAAAGTCAGCTGTATCCCTCTTCATCCCATTCCACCAGAACCGAGGTCGCATAGTTTGGTACATTTTGGTACTTCCTGGATGCATGGCAAACTTTGAACTATGGGACTCCGTCATTTTGGTACTTATCGGCGGCAGTGCTCTCGGGTGCGGTGGCTCTCTGGCGAGGTTCGTGTTTTGGTGATTCGGGTCCGATCAACCTGTAGAGAAAAGAATGGTGATCACAGCCGTCCATTTTGATTAAATCTGGGCCGTCCGTGCGATTGCATCTGGGCCGTCCGTGCGCACGCTTGATCTGGGCCGTCCGTGCGTGCGGGGACGAATCTGGGCCGTCCGATGGCACGCACGCGGATCGCCCACGTGGCCCGTTCCCGGGTCGACGTGGTCTCGCCACATGGTAGGTCCTGGTTGGCCAGGGCTACTGACTGGGCCGCTGACGTGGCTGCTGACGTGGCGCTGACGGAGCGCAATTTTTCCAAATTGCGTTTTGACCTCCGGTTTCCGATTTTCTTTTCAAAAATACCCCCAGAATCCTAATTTTCACCCATTTTTTCCAAAATCAATTTCAATTAAATCCAAATAATATTTTTACCCAATTTTACAATTATTATTATTTTTATTAATATTATTATTATTTTTTTTTTAAAATTATAAATTAAACTAAATAAATAAAATACATAAAAATTAAAATTAATAAAAAATAATAATAAAAATGCTAAAATTATTGGGCGTTACAATAATCATTCTATATATTAAAATTTCAATACAAATTATCTCATACAAAGAACATAAATTAAGCAACAAAAAAGCAAAAAAAAATTAAAAAAAAAAAAAAGAAATATAAGAAAAGTGAAGAACAAGAGACTAAAAAAAGTTGTGAAAAACTTGGAGTCAAGAGGAGCTTATCGAATGATATTTTCTTATCTAATTTTAGTTTAGCATGGGAGCATAAGTTTTAGCCAAAAGAAAATATTTATGTGGAAGTGAAAAAGTAGAAGAGATGCTGCTTACTGTATCTACCCGCTGCTCATTTTAGTATATAATAATCTTAATTGCTTTTGAAGTCAAAGTCTGTAACGGCTCCGGAAATTTAAATGAAATATATGTATTAAAAATATCAAATGCGGAAGCGTAATAAAAATTTTGATTAACATCCCTTACACAATAACCAAAACGTACTCAAAACATGAAAGAACAAACTAACTAAAAGAGATACTCGAGATAAGAACTATAAATATAGCTAGGGAGTCTTTAGGCGTCACATTCGCCGTCTTCCCGCGGAACGGGCTCGAGAACAATGTCTTCCTGATCTGAAATGGTTAAATAAGGAATGAACTACACCAGTCCAGTAAAGACATCACACTATCTCACCGCCACGGAAGTAAAGATGGGTAGAAAACAAAAATGACCAATGGAGCATAATTTATAACAAATTCAATTATAAAATCCTTTACTATCCACTTATCTCGGCAAGATCCATGAAAACAACATATGAAAATAATAACCTTATAATATCATGAAATCATCCACACTTTATAACATAACATATATCACACCTTTACATTTCAATCATCAGGAAACAGATTTCCTCTTTTACCAGCCTACTAGTATCCCTGGGGATCCATAGGGGGTCCCCTCTGCACGTGAACCATTAACATTTACAACCTGATTCCAGGGCCGTCCCCATATCCCGTCCGGTATGGGCGCCAAAACCATGAACCTCAATACCCCGTCCGGTATGAGGGTGAAACGGGCCGTCCCCATACCCCGTCTGGTATGGGCGCCAAAACACATAAGGTATCCATACCCCGTCCGGTATGAGAGACCACGTTCCCGGTAGGGTTTCCTACGGATTCGGTCTGTCCACCATCTCCCAGGATATCTAGTCAGGCTGTTCACATTATCCACTTATCAATTCACATAACCTTTTTGCTTTTTTCCTTAATCTCAATCATCCAATCATACAAAATATGTAAACCAGTAATTGACACCAAATAAGACAATACAGTACCGGGTTCACCATAATACAAACCATAATAAAAGAAACATAGTTCATGCATACGAGACCATAACATAATTACATCAAACATCATGCTGCATTTAATACTGGAAATTATATCAAACAATAACAGACCAATACTGTATCAGACTCGGGCTCCATTGGTAACCTTAATCAATTATACGTCTATAAAGTCACAAAGTACAATTTAATTATTTATTTAGCTTTAATACCGTGATAGGAAACAGGGTGAAGGGTCCTTACTTATTTCGGGACTAAAATCGACTCTATAGTGCGCCTACGGACTGTCCTAAATTTCCATAAATTTTTTTCGAAAAACTGAAAATCACTACCGGTACCTGCAGGTGACCCAAAAAATCCCAAATCAGACGTAGGGCCCCTTCCGGCCAATATCAAAATTCCGGCACAGCGGCTTCGCCGTGCTCCGACGACGGCGCCGCCGCTTACGGCAGCGATTCGCCTCGGGTTGCTCGTTTTCGGCCGAATTTGGTCACACTTGCATCGATTCCTGTGATAAAACAACCCTAAGGCCCTCGGTGGGCCAAAAAATCATGAAAAACCGAGACTTACCGACGGCGGTGCTCTGGGGTGCGGCGGCTCCTCCGTCGTGAGTCGTGTTTTGATGTTTGGCTCCGATCAACCTGTAGAGAAAAGAACGGTGATCACTGTGGTATAAAATTTGCATCGAACGGAGGCCGGGAAGGGTCTCATCGGAGGCAAAAACTGAGGAGGGGCGCGGCGGCGACGCTGGGTTTTGGCTGGGTTTTTCGGCCGTTTGGTCGGTGGTTTGGCTCCGGTTTGGCCATAGGAGGACTCAGCATCAAAAAACGAGCAAGGGAGAGAAAATTTACATCGATCGGCGGTCGAAAACTTCCCCGGTGCAGCGGCGGGTGGCGGCGGCCGGCTCCTCCGGCATCTGGTTCTTCTTCTCTGGCGAGGCACTGGCGGCTAGGATTTTTGTGGTCAGGTGTGGGTGGGGTTATTTATACCCTTTGCCTTTTAATCTCAACCGTCAATCAAGATTAAATCTGAGCCGTTCGATCGCGATTTAATTCGGATTAAATCTAGGCCGTCCATCGTGATGCAATTTGGGTCGTCTGTGCTTGATTGAATCTGGGCCGTCCGTGCGCACGGGAACGGATCTGGGCCGTCCGATCACGCGCACGCGGATCGCCCACGTGGCCCGTTCACTGGTCAGCGTTGTCTTGCCATGCGGCGAGTCCTGGTTGGCCAGGGCTGCTGACCGGGCCGCTGACGTGGCTGTTGAGGTGGGTGCTGACGTGGAACAATTTTTTTAAATTGCGTTTTGACCCCCGGTTTCCGATTTTCTTTTCAAAAATACCCCCATAATCCAAATTTTTACTCATTCTTCCCAAAATCAATTTCAATTAAATTCAAATAATATTTTTACCCAATTTTATCATTATTATTATTTTTATTTTCATTAAATTAAATTAAATAAAAATCAAATAAATAAAAATAAAAATAATAAAATAAAATTTTATTTTACTTGGATTTACAAAGTCTGTTAAAATAATAATAATAATTAATTACATCTGCAGTTGCCAAGAGAAACAACAGAGACAAGATATGCTGTCGGCCATTTTTTCTTATTTCCTCTCTCAGTCCGTCCATCCATCCATCCATCTATCTCCTTCTTCATCCCTACAAACCCTCCTCTCTCCCTCCATAAAATGGATAGAAAACATGTCAAATACTGTGTGGTAAGTAACTTCATCCTATAAACGGTTATATATGTGTATATATGCTATAACGAAGTTGGTGTTGATTTGATCCTGAATCATGACCAGGTGGACGCGTTCACCGACTCACCTTTCAAGGGGAACCCTGCTGCGGTTTGCTTGTTAGAGGAAGATAAAGACGACGAGTGGCTACAATCCTTGGCTGCCGAGTTCAATGTCTCTATGACCTGTTACCTAACTCGAACCGCTGACTCATCCACCGACACTTCAAATCCCAGGTTCCGTCTCAGATGGTTCACCCCTATCACCGAGGTTGTTACTAGGTTAATTCGTTAATGAAACTTTTTATGAATATACAGTTGATCTCATTTTTGTTACTGAAAAATAGACTATATATGAACATGAAATTTCATAGAGCATGGGATCCAGTTTCCTATTCTGGTCTGTCGGCGATCTTGTCTTGTGTTGTTTGATTAAACCTGGAATAGATGGGTTTAGTTTATCAGAAATTTAATTTTTGTATTTAAATTGTACTAAAAAAATTTCTTTTAACAAATTTGTGTTATTTCATTTCGATGAAATTTGGAATTAATAATCAGGTAATTTATTTAAAGTTTTATCTTAATTTTGTTTATATTTAAATTATATATTTTTAAATAATAGTAAATTTTTTAGTTAAATAGTTGATACATTTTTTTTTTGGTTATAAAAAGTTATAAATTAAAAATATAAATATATATTTTTTTAAAATATTATATTATAATAAATATTTAAGTACTTAAATGAGCTTTACAAAAACATATGTAAAAATATTTTTACAGGTTGATATCTGTGGGCATGCAACCTTGGCATCTGCACATTTTCTTTTCTCTGGTGGTTTGGTCCATTCCAGCACAATTGAATTTGAGACTCTATCTGGAATTCTAACAGCGAAAAAGGTTCAAGATGGGAAAGCAATCAATTTCTCCCAAGCTCAGAATGGTGAAGCCAAGAAGCTGTCGTTTTTAATTGAATTGGATTTTCCTATATTCCCAACGACTGAATTCATCTCTAGTGAAGTTTCAACTATTGCTAGAGCCTTGAATGTGGCTTCTAATTCCATAGTCGAGATTAAGAAGACAACTAAGTTGGGCACTATATTGGTAAGTTTGACATAATATGTTTTTGTTAATCATTGTTCAACTGTTAACAAAGTCATTGAAGCTTTTGAAAATTTTGGTTACAAGTTATTATCCTCTATATAAAGTATCAGAATAAGTTATGTTTATATCTCATAGTTTGATCTTATTTGCGATACCCTGTGTGTGAAAAATGATTAAAGTATCAAAATTTATTCTATATTATTAAAAAATATTTAAAATTTATACTATATTATTTTACTCTAAAAAATTTTTAATAGTACGTGATAAAATTTAATATTTATTAATCTTATAGAAAAAAGTAAGAGATGTTAATCTTATATAATAAATTTTGTATTTATAATGACTTATATATATATTTCTCATTCTAACTATCACCAGATGTTAAAATTTAAAAATGATATGTACATCTGTAGGTTGTACTTACTTCATGGAAGTCTGTTATTGAGTTGGAACCAAACTTCGATGAAATAATGAAGTGTCCTGGGAGGGGAATAATTGTCTCAGCCGAAGCTCCTCAAGACTCTGAATTTGATTTTTGCAGTCGATTCTTTTTTCCGAAATATGGTATCAAAGAGGTAATGCTAAAATTTGATGTAAAAATTATTAGATAATATTATTTTTACATTGCCAAGTATAAAAAATTGTAATGACTTGTATCTAATTTATAATTTAAATTAGAATTTTACATATATCGAGTTAGAGTTGAAGTTGCAAGAATTATTAGAAAACTTGAAAATAAGCATTAAAGATTGTGAATATTAATGGATTTTCATATACTTATCTATTATATTCAGGATCCTGTTTGTGGAAGTGCTCATTGTTCTTTAACACCATATTGGAGTCAGAAGCTGAAGAAATTTGATTTCTTAGCATATGCGGTATGTTTTTAAACTTGTCGTTTATTCACTCAAATATTATTTTTATAGTGATATGTATATATATTTATAAATATAGTAATAATAAAAAATGCTTAATCATCCTTGTATTGGCGATATTGCACAGGCCTCATCAAGAAGCGGTGTACTAAACATTCACTTAAATACCGACAGCCAAAGGGTCCTTCTTCGGGGGAAAGCTGTTGTTATAATGGAAGGTCGTATTCTTGTTTAGATTTTTCAATAATTAAAATTCTCAACCACTAAACATATAATTATTGTGTTAATGTTATATCTGAATTTTTATTGTATCAAAAATATTTGGAAATATTTTATTTTTCATTTGACTCAATATAAATAATTGTTTTTTTTTTTGCAATAAAGGAGAGAATTTACTGGAATGAAAATGAAATTAAAAATATATATATTTTACTTCATTCAGATAAAATATTTTATTATCAAAATTCTTTTATCTTCGTTAAATAAAAAATAAAAGAGAGAATAATATAAAATTATTATTATACAGAATATAATAATAATCTATCTAAAAAGCATGACTAAATCAAATAGAATTTATAAGAATAAAAAATTTAACACCATTTACTTTACGACGAGATAAAGAGTGTTTGTTATTTAATATATGTTGAGTAAATTAATATATTCTAAAATATAAATTTTTAAATATCGAGTAAGATAAGATAAGATATAATCTTTATTATTTTCTATCTATTAAATCTTAACATATATGTTTATAAAAAAATTGGACCGAACATAATCTATCTTCTTGGCACATTTTTTTTTTCTTCATCTCTGCCTTCTTGGCACGATTTATACTCTAACTCTTGATTCAAACGTATCTGCTTATCAATGGACACGGTGGGGGGTATGCCGTCGCTATCCATAACGGACACAGAGGAGGGTGGTTGGGACCTCTCTGAAGTCATTCACGTTGGACAAGAGCACTAAGATTCTTGTTTCGTAGGGTGTTTTTTGACATAGGCAATGGTCAAACTTGATCCTATGCGCAATACACTGGCGGATGTCTGAAGAACTCTTCGTGGTGTCAGCATCATAGATTTGGGGGTGGGTCGTCTTCTTTTTTTATTGTTCCATAAGGTGGATATTTAAAGGATTATCAACGGAGGCCCTTGGACTTTTAATAACCATCTTTTAGTCACTCATAGAATCCGAGAAAACGAGGATCCGATGATGGTTCCTATCAATATATGTCATTTTTGGGTCTAGGTTCACTCTTTACCGGCAGCCTGTGTCTCGGAACATATGGCAAAACAGTTGGGCAATTTCCTGGGCGGCTTCTAGAGTATGATACCCGTCATGCCACCATAAACGCTTAGGGTGTCCTGAGAATCCGAGTAGCTGTTGATGTGATGAAATCGTTATATCAGCAGAAGAAACTACACATTTGTAATGGCAAAACAATGTATGCTTTATTCCAATATGAGAGGTTGATAGTGTTTTGTTACCTATGTGGCCGACTGTGTCACTCGAAAAGTTTCTGCAAATTACTTTTACAACATCCTGTGGTGGCGCTAAGGGCAGAGTGGGATGACTCACTTCGGGCTGCTCCTCGCCGGAATCTTCCACAGGTGAGTCGATGGTTACGTGATGTGATAGTTGACGGTTACTCGAATATAGCGGCAAACATGACGGGATTTTGGGCGCTAAAGGAGAGTGGTTTGGATTTTAAAATAGCAGTTAGTCACTCGACGACCTCGATGCCTGAGTTAATGAACTGTCCAATCAGGGGACCTCTGGGGCCCGACTACATGGATCAAGACATCACTGCAGTGAGCCCAACTGCAGGGGATATGTGCCCAATAAGGGAAATAAACTGGGCAACCCAGAAGGAAGATATTTGCTTAGTTCAAGATGATGGAAAAAAAACTTCTGTGAGTAAGATGATATTTTCTCTTCACTGTCAGTTCGGGATGCGACATCCAACTGAAGGATCAACGAGACCTAGTAATCAGGCTCGCTAGGAGCCATGAAGCTTTGGAACTGTTGGGGACTTAGCAACCCCCCTGCAATTATAACTCTTCGTGAGCTCATCCGTAAATTCAAGTTGTAAATGATTTTTCTTTCTAAAACATTAGTTGATAAGAATAAATTGAAAAGTATCAGTTGCAGAGTTGGGTTCACAAATGTGTTTGAGGTTTGGCAATCATGTGGACACATTTTTGTAATATAACGACACAGTCCTTTTCTTGACACCACGTTGATATGAAAATTGAATATGAGACTGGCAGTATATGCATGATAATAGGTTTTTTGTTAAAAATTAATTTACAAATTAAAATATAATTAATTAGTTTGTTAATTATTGAACTTCGTAAACTAGAGTCTCTATATATCATTTAGTTTGGTTGAAGTTGTGAGTCACAAATTCGATTTATTATATTTGTTGTAATAGTGCCTATAAATAGTCATATACTTGAAGTTTTTTTGAAATAACTAAAATAAAAAATCTTGAGTCTTCTCTTTAGTTTCTCTAATCTCTTCCTACTTTCTCTAATAAAGTGGTATCAGAGCTTAGTTTCTTGTTAAAATTCTAGAAATGACTAGCAACAATCTATTTTCTTTCCAATTTCCTCATCTTATAAAAGAAAACTATTAGAGTTAGTGTCTTCATATGAAAGTCATATTTGGCTAACAAGATGCGTGGAATATTGTAGAAAGAGGCTTTACTCTACCCGAAAGTGGAGGATCTTTAACTCAAAATGAGAAGGATGTTTTTGCAAGAACAAAGAATAAGGATCAATAAGCTCTTTCACTCATCCATCAAGGTTTAGATGAATCTATGTTTCTAAAGTTGGCCAACGCTACCAACGCAAAGCAAGCTCGGAAAATTTTGAAGAATTCCCTCTAAGGAGTTGACAAGGTGAAGAATGTACAACTTTAAACTTTACGAGGTGAGTTTGAAGCTTTGCAAATGAAGGATGTTGAATCCATTTCAGATTTTTGCTCAAGGATAAAGTCTATAGTAAGCCAAATGAGGAGATATGGTGAGATGATGGAAGATGTTCGTGTGGTATAGAAAATTCTTCGATCGTTGCCACCAAAATTCGACTAGGTGGTTTGTGCCATTGAAGAATCAAAGGATCTAGACATTTTGACATTTGAACAATTAGAGGGATCTTTATAAGCTCATGAAGAAAAAATAAAAAGAAGACAAGAAGAGCCTTTAAAACAAGTTTTCAAAGCAAAGACATCTTTGCTTACAAGATGTGTAGGATATTGTAGAAAAATACTTTACTCTACTCGAAGATAAAGGATCCTTATTCAAAATTAGAAGGATGTTTTTGCAAAAACAAAGAAGAAGGATCAACAAGCTCTTGCACTCATCCATCAAGGTTTGGATGAATCTATATTTCTAAAGGTATCCGACACTACCAACACAAAGCAAACTCGGGAAATTTTAAAGAATTCCCTCCAAGGAGTTGACAATGTGAAAAATGTACAACTTCAAACTTTACGAAGCAAGTTTGAAGTTTTGCAAACGAAGGATGTTGAATCCGTTTCAGATTTTTGCTCAAGGGTAAAGTCTATAGTAAGCCAAATGAGGAGAAATGATGAGATGATGGAAGATGTTCGTGTGGTACATAAAATTCTTCAATCGTTACCACCAAAATTCGACAATGTGGTTTGTGCCATTGAAGAATTAAATGATCTATACATTTTGGCATTTGAACAATTAGAGGGATCTCTACAAGCTCATGAAGAAAAAATAAAGAGAAGACAAAAAGAGCTTTTAGAACAAATTCTCAAAGCAAAGACATCTTTGAATGATGGTGGAAAGCAAAGAGGACGAGTAAGAGGTAGAGGATGTGGTCGTGGCCGTGGTCGGGGTCGTGATCAAGCATTTAAAAGAAATGAAACTCAAGATGATGCCGATAATGAAGACAAAAGTCAACCATCAAATAGATGTCGTGGAAGAGGAAGAGGGAGAGGAAGAAGTAACTATACAAATTTTAACAAATCAAATATTGAATGTTACAATTGTCACAAATATAGACATTATGCTTGGAAATGTCATAACACTTTAAACGAGAAAGAGGAATAAGCCAACTTTGTCAATGATAAATAAGATGAGGAAGAAATAACTTTATTGCTAGCATGTAAAGAGGGAGACAGTGACACCCATAATTCATAGTACTTGGATAATGTAGCGAGCAATCACATGTGTGACAATAAAAAAAATTTTATGGAGTTTGATGAAAAGATTAATGGTAATGTTTCTTTTGGAGACTCTTCAAAAGTTCAAATTCAAGGAAAAGATACAATTTTAATCTCTTCAAAAAATAGTGGGCATATACTTATCATTAACGTTTACTATGTGCTAAAGTTAAGAAGTAGTATTTTGAGTTTGGGTCAACTTCTTGAAAATGGATATAAAATTCACATGAAAGATTATTGTCTTTGGTTTAGAGATCAAATTGCTAAGGTGCACATGTTAAAGAATAGAATGTTTATCTTGAATCTCAAAACTATTGAAACAAGATGTTTGAAGCTAGTGTGGAATGTGAAACATGGTGTTGGCATATGAGATTTGGCTATTTGAACTTTGGTGCACTCAAGGCGATGGGAGAAGAAAAAATAGTGAAAGAAATGCCATTAATCAACCATCCTAATCAATTATATGAAACATGTCTACTTGAAAAACATTCAAAAAGAAGTTTCCTAAAAGAAGCTACTACAAGAGTAACCAAGCTACTTCAACTTGTGCATGCCGATGTATGTGGGTCAATCAATCCACTTTTATTTGGTAAAAATAAATACTTTCTACTATTTATTGATAATTTTAAAAGGAAGACTTGGATATATTTTTTAAAGCAAAAATCAAATGTTTTTATTACTTTTAAAATTTTCAAAGCTCTTCTAAAGAATTCCATTATGTCTGTGAATCTAATGGAATTCGTCGCCCTTACACCACAACAAAATGGAGTTGCGGAAAGAAAGAATAGAACTATTCTTAATACGGCTAGAAGTATGTTAAAAGCAAAAAATATGCCCAAGGAATTTTGAGCTGAAGAAATTTCTTGTGCAGTATATTTATCTAATAGATCTCCAACATCAAGTTTGAAAGACATGACTCTCCAAGAAGCATGGAGCAGAATAAAACCTAATATCAACCATTTGTGAGTTTTTAAAAGTATTGCATATGCTCATGTTCTACAACAAGAGAGATCTAAACTCGATGATCAAAGTGTCAAACATATTTTCATTGGGTATGATGCAAACTCAAAAGACTATAAATTGTATAATCCAAGCAATGGCAAGATCATTGTAAGTATTGAATTTAATGAAAAACGACTTAAAATTGGGAGAAGAAAAAAAAATGCTTATGATTTCTTTCCATACTTTGAAAAATCTCTGACAAGGGATCTAGAACCGTTTGCAATAGTCCCCTTTACCTCAATCTCAAACTCCTGTCCTAGCCCCTATTTCTCATAAAGTTCAAGTGAAAGGTCACGAAAGTTGAAGAGCATTCAAGATCTTTATGATGAAACTGAGAATATCACTAATTTTGATATAAATGATTTGTTTTGTCTTTTTCTTGACAGTGAACTAATGAATTTTAATGAAGCCATCAAAGATGCAAGATGGAGACAAGCCATGGAGGAAGATATCAAATCCATAGAAAATAACAACACATGGGAGCTATTCACTCTTCCTAAAGGATATAAAGCTATTGGTGTCAAATGGGTCTATAAAGCTAAAAAATATTCTCAAGAAAATGTGAAAATGTACAAGACAAGACTTGTGTGACTAAAGGATACAAGCAAAAACATGGGATTGATTATGATGAGGTTTTTGCACCAGTTGCTCGCATGGAGACTATTCGTTTGCTCTTAACTATTTCAGCTCAAATGAAGTAGAAAAATTTTTAACCTGATGTAAAATCGGCATTTCTCAATGGCTATCTTAATGAAGAAGTTTATGTAGGACAACCATTGTGTATTGTAGTTGAAAGGCATGAAGATAAAGTGTTGAAATTGAAGAAAGTTTTATATGGGCTAAAGCAAACGCCAAGAGCATGGAATAGCTGTATAAACAAGTATTTTGAAGATAATGGATTTGTTCGTTGCCTTCATAAATATGCTCTTTATATGAAGTATCATCATAATGATAATATTTTATTTGTGTATCTATATGTAGATGATCTCATCTTCATATTAACAATCCAAATTTGTTTGAAGAATTCAAAAAAAATATGTTACTTGAGAAATGACTGATATTGAGCTCATGTCTTATTATTTGGGCCTTGAAGTGAAGCAAATAGAAGATTATATTTTTATTTCTCAAGAAGGCTATGCAAGAAAAGTGTTAGAAAAATTCAAAATGCTTAATTGTAATCCTGTAAACACACCTATAGAATGTGGAGTCAAGTTATCAAAGTTTGATAATAGGAAAAAAGTAGATCTCACTCTCTTTAAAAGTCTTATGGGAAGTTTGAGATACATGATATTTACAAGGCCTAATATTCTTTTTGCAGTTGGACTAATAAGTCGTTTTATGGAAGCTCCTATCACCTCTCACATGAATGTTGCTGAAAGAGTTCTACGTTACTTTAAATGTACTATTGATTTTGGGTTATTTTATTCATATTCTAATGATATCAACCTTGTGCGGATTTTGTGATAGTGATTTCACTGAAGATATTGATGATAGAAAAAGTACAACTAGTTTCGTATTTTTTATGGGTGATTGTGCAATTACATGGAGTTCTAAGAAGCAAATCATTGTTACACTATCAACTTGTGAGTTTGAATATGTGACAACAACCTCTTGTGCTTGTTATGTCATATGACTTAGAAGATTATTGGAAGAACTTCATTTAACACTGGACAAACATACTAAAACTTTTATTGACAATAAGTATGCATAAGCACTAACCAAGAATCCGGTATTCCATGAACGAAGCAAATACGTAGACACAAGATATCATTTTATTAGAGATTGCATTACTAAAAAAGAAGTGAAGCTCTAGCACGTAAAGATTGAAGATCAAGTGGCAAATATTTTCACCAAACTGCTCAAGTTTGAAGTTTTTCAAAAGTTACACAGCTAATCTTGAATTGAAAATGAAATTTATAAATAAAGAGAGAGTGTTAAAAATTAATTTATAAATTAAAATATAATTAATTAGTAAATTAAGGCCTAATATTCTTTTGAATAGGAAGGAGATCGACCGCATTATTCTGTCTCGAGGTTTGAGGCAAGGGGATCCGTTGTCGCCATATTTA